CCCAGGTACATGCAGGGCACTTTGGATAGAAACCACAGCAAGTGGGGAGAGGTGGCTTAAACATTCCTTCTCATGTTACTTTCCTGACCTGAAATGGCCCAGGGTAAGCTGCAATTTGTCCTTCTGGGAAAAACATGTATACCGATGGGCTACTCAAAGGGGAAAAGCCAGCTCCTCAGAGCAGTTTCAGGTTGGGAAAATGGCATGGCTTGGAGGCTTAAGTGCCTCTTCTCCCACACATGCCTGGAATTTAAATTTTCACCACAGAATTCACAAGACGTATCTGCTCCTGTGGACCTGAGGAGGAGGTGAGGGAAATATATGTACTTAGGCACTTAGAACAGTGGACTGAGGGCCAAACTAAATTTGACAGTATCTTTGGGTCCAACCTGTGGACACAGCTGCCATTGTAAAGGGTTTTAAAAATGCTGTGAGGGCCCAATCCTGATGGGACCCACAGCATGGGGGCTGAGGCACTTATCCCCCTCTCACCCCCAGTGCTGAGTTGGCTGTACCTCCTCATGGTAGTTAAAAAGGGGGAGAGGGACAAGAGTGCCTCAGCTCATCACACTGCAGGCTTGATCAGGATCAGGCCTTTGTGGCATTTTTAAATCATTTTAAAATGGTGGCAATATCCACAGGTCCAGCCCACGAACAAGTTCACATCTCATTTGGCCTTAGCTTCACTTGGGAAGGCCTCTGGGGGGCTCTCTTGAAGGATATCTACATGGAAATCATTGCCATTGGTCATCCATATAGAATTGTCAAGAGATGTTCATAAGCAAGATACTAGATTCCTACTTGTGGGTCTTTCAGGATAAATTTATTCATATGACTGTTGGAAATACGACTAGTACTACATTTGGTATAAAGATAAATTGTATTTTTTGTGGGACTGGGGCTATCTCCCTTTAATTGGTTTGAACTTCATCAGATATATCTTCAAATATTTCTAGCAGATGGAAATTGCTTGCCCAATCAGATTCTCACTAGCATATCCCCCCCCTTCATTGGAACAAAAGCTTATCACAAGACTTCAAGCAAATGCTTTTAAGTAGGCTTTTTCTGTGGAGGGTGAGTTAATATCCCATGGCTCAAAGAAACGGCTTTATCCATGCAAGCAGCTTCAAATGAAATGGATATATTCATTTCTTGTAATCGACTTCAAGTCCCTGAGAAAGTGTAAAATCACAGCTCTTTAAACGATGCTTTGATGGGTTTCTGTAACTAGGGATGGGCATGAACTGGTTCATGAACTAAAGTTCATGATGAATTTTGGCCGGTTCATGGGTCACAAAGTGAAGTTTGTGGCAGGTCAACTGGCACGAACTTTCATATTGTTTGTGCAGGTTCGTGCCAGTTTGTGAGTGGATACATTTCCAGAGAGACTGTCTCAGCTCAATCTGTTTCTGAAACTTCAAACAAGGGGGAAGGGACTTGGAAGGCATATAGAAGATCATACAAGGGAGGTCCCCTGCAATTTTGATGAGGAATTTCAGATTACCCTTTTTAAGCCGTTATTGCACCATCTTGGAATAAACCGGTACAGGGGCGGCCATTTCACACAGCCTTTCCCCTACTGGTAAGGTGCCGTCTCTGAAGCGGTTTGGCATTTCAGACTGCACCGCTTTGTTTTCCCGCCCTTTTTTGCCCACGCGGGCGATTGTCATCTTTTTTTAAAATGTTCTTTTAAGAGCGCTATAGCGCTATAACACAACACCAAAACAGCACAATAGCGACCACGTTGGAATACCTGGACTCCATTGAGAGACATGAGATTGGGGGATTTAAAAATAGGAAGTGGAAGCTCAGGAACACACAGTTTGAGAGCATTTTTTTAAATACTAGCTCCTTTCCAGCTTGCAAACAGCATCCTCCTTTTGATGGTCAGCATATAGGGATGCCATGCCTCCAGGGCAGTGTTCCCTCTAAGCTTAGTTAGTGTGAGCTGGCTCACAGTTTTTTAGCGTCCGGCTCACACATTTTTGTCTTAGCTCAGGAAAAATGGCTCCAGAGCAAACTAATTTATGCAGTAGCCAGATAATTTGCTCACAATTCTAATGCCAGTAGCTCACAAAGTGGAATTTTTGCTCACAGGACTCCACAGCTTAGAGGGAGCATTGCAGAGTTACAGCTTATCTCCTGCCTACAGATATCAGTTCCCAGGCATATAGCGAATGCTGTGGAAGGAAGACTCCATGCCATTGTACTCCATTGAAATCCCTGTTCTCCCCAGATGTAGTGATCTCATGTATCTCAGTGGTCCAGGCATTCCAATGGGGTCACTATTGTGCTGTTCTGGAGTTGTGTTATAGCACTATAGTGCTCTTAAAAGAATGTTTAAAAAAAGACGGAGATCGCCCACTCGGGCGGGAAAACCTCATCATCCGAGTAAGTGCTATGGGGGCATTTTACACAGCACCCCGTAGTGCTTCAGGAATGGTATAGAAAATTGAAGACCGCTTGGAAGCAGTTCACAGGTAAAATGGCTCAGGAACGTTTCCCTAACGGGACAGGAGCATTTGTATCTGAAAGGGTCAATATATTCTTTTAGGAAACTGTTACTAAAACAGTTCTGTCTGAAATGTCAGTACAGAAACCGTTAGTGAACAGTTCCTGAAATGGAACATATCGGCTGTCTGAAATTCCCTGATGTCTCTAACTTGCACAGGATCCATTCTATACAATCCTGAACCTCCTGCACCTGTTAAAATGATTGCCAATCAATGACAAAGTGTTTATTTTGACAGGCGCAGGTTCAGGAGTGTATAGGACAGATTCTGTACAAGCTAGAGACACCAATCTCTCAGGGGACCTCCCCCAGATGCTCCTCTACATGCCTTGGGGTCTCTAGCTTGCACAGGATCCATTCTATACACTCCTGAACCTGCATCTGTCAAAATGACTGCCTGTCATTTATTGAGCCTCACCTGACCATTCTCAATATGAATTCCCCAGAAAGCATTTTCCTGGGGGCACCTTCTTTGGGATGGGGTGTAACTCAGACCCCATAAATCCAATCTTCACCAAAGTTGGGGGGCAGGTGTGGGAGAGTCAGCTAGAGAGCTCCTGTGAATTTGGTGTCTCTAGCTTGCACAGGATCCATTATATCAGGTCATGAAACTCATAAACCGACTCAGTTCATGGTTTGCGAACTGGGCACGTCATGAACTGAACCACATTTTCCCGATGTGTGCCCATCCCTACCTGTAACTTCTCCAAATTTGGTGGTTTTGAGGGGGGGGAGGGGCCCTCTCAGTCTAGCATATAAACTAGGACATTAATCTGGCAAGCCTGCATTTTGCTTCTTTTATTTGTCAGAATGTCCCAAGTTCCAGTTTTTTTTAACACCTTACTGTGTTTTGCTCAGTTCTGATGCACCATCCCATTTATTTACTTCATTTATACCCAACCTTTCTCTCCAATGGGGATGAAAAGCAGCTCACACTGGTCTGTTCTCCTCCATTTTATTCCCACAACAACCCTGTGAGGTAGGTTAGGCTGAAAGTATGTCATTGCCAAAGTTCTCCCAACAAGCTTCCATGACAGAGTAGAGATGTGAAACTGGGTCTCCCTGAACCTAGTCTGATGCCCTAACCACTACATCACACTGGCTCCTCAGAACATGCTATCTTTAACATAATCAGTTATTTAACATGACTTTTAGATTACTACTTTCTCCAAGGAATGGTAGTGATGGCCTCACCACCTCCCTTGGTGGGCTTCTTTGCTGAGTATGCAGGTCTTCCAAGACGAACAATGAATCCACTACACCACACTGTAGTTCTTACTTTTCTATGCAATATATTTTTTTATAACTACAGTTAGAAAGGTAGCTAGAGTAAATAAGGTGTTCTTCCTAGGCTTACACCTGTACCCTGTAAATCCTTGCTTTATAAATAGTAGGATTAGGGTGGTGGTTGCTATGCCAAGTTCAACACTCGGCCGTCTATAATAACAAGACACTGACCTATAGGCCCAGTCCCCCGGAACCCTCTTCCTAAAGCAGTTCATGAGTAGCTGTCTTTCCCAATATTTAGACTGCATATGGTTTATCCATGTAGTAAGAAAAACTTTTACAAAGCCCCTGATTTAGGAACTATTCAGATGCTCAAACAGCAACTGCAACAATACTGTAGCTGCAGTCACATGCTGGTGGTGATATTGAGTGGGCACTACTTTTCAGTGGTAATTCACATGAATGCACCACATTAAAATGTATGCTTTTACACCATACCAGTTGCCACAAAGAATATGGTTGCAGTGAGGTAGATATAATTTAATCCAGATGGCTAGATGCACAGGGATTAGGGATACTTGAACACCTGCCATTTGTGATCAGGGAGCTGATAATTCTACAGAATGTTGGGGAAAACCTAGGAAACTTCTTGCTGAATCTTAAGACTTACACAGATGTAGCAAGAACAGAAACCAACCCTCAGCTGATCAGGGGCACCTGAACACTGACTTCTAACAGCTGGGAGTTGGCTTCTGATTCCCCCTGAAAAAAGCCGCTAGGTTTTAGTAAGGCTGGTATTCAGTGTTAGAGATCAGAAGGATGGCATTAGAGTATAATAGCCTATATCTGTGCTAAAACGTTCTGTCACATAGGACATGTTCCTGAAATATGCCCAGAACATGTCTCTTACATAATGGCACTGGGCTTGATTAGCTTGGAAATCAGGTATCTGCTACCTGAATCCTACAGGAAATAGCTAGTTTTTAGTAAGACAGAAGAGCTGATGAAATGGATTAGTTTGCACAAAAAACCTGATCAACAGCAACATCCCTCCGTATTACTTCATACAATGCTTTTTATTTGAATATACTTATGACAGTTATTCCCTATGATACAAAGCACAATGTATCTGTGTCAGTACTTGCTAAAGGGAACAGACTCTCAGAACGACCTTCCAAAGAAAGCTTGAATCTTAAGCATACTCTGATAATATCTTTGTACTGAAAACTTCTAATACAATTATGCACATCTGTGTGGTAATTTGAAACTTCTCATTTATGTCATATTTCCCAAAGCCTGACTCTTAATGTTTCCAAAAGGCCCCAATCCAGTAGTATAACACTTAGCAGAAAACATACAGTTGTGCACAGTATTCTTTAGAGAAGAACACATACACTTGACAAAGTAAAATAAATTTTAATTAAATTCCTATGTAAAACCATTGTTTTGATCCAAAAGGCAAATTTTATAATAATCACTTATATTTAACATCACCAAAACAAAGAGCTACCAGTGTTCTTTGGCGAGTAAGCAATAGCTGAAAGGCCATCTCGCCACCATTTCATACATTACAAGTTGCATCTTTGAGCCAACAGATCTTATTGCACTTTAAATATGAATTGCTCCTCAAATAAGCACCTTAAAAATATGGTACCTCAGTGTTAAAATAAATCCAGTTTTTCCACCAATTATCTTAGGTTGAAAACAAACATTCTGGTCAAGATAAACAGTATCACTATAGGCATTTAGGAAATGCTGTAAATAACAGGTCTGACTTTACAATGGAGTTCCATTAAAAAAATGCTGCCTTTTAGCATTTTTAAAAAATCACACACCTCTTGACTTTCACACACAGTTATGTTGTTTGGGTGCACATTCCTCATAATCCGGTTTTCTATTAAGTGTGGTTTTCCATGTACATATATTACACATTGTGTGAGAACAATACAGTTGTTATTGATGTCAATGGAAGACGGAAAAGCCATTGAGGTTTGTGCAAAAGCTTAGCTGGTAGACTTTAAAAAGTGGAGGGTCAATAGAACTCAAAGGCAATCATATTCATGATGGAGTTTTCCAAAAGCTCAAGGTTGCCCAATGCATATATGCCCCACTGAAGTTAGCATTAATGCTAACAGGTTTACACAAAACACTAAGCACTTTGTTTAGAGGATTCATCTCTTTCAACTGGTTCTCCCAATATGAAGAAAAATCTCTCTTGTGGCAGCAGTTTAACATAATAAGCAGCTTCCTTCTGTACAATGCTCTGGCAGTTTTTATGTACAATAAAACATAATTATGCCAGTAAAACACACACACACACAATATTCTTTTGAAGCAAAATTAAAACACACACACACACACCTCTGATTCTCCATTTAACCATCAGTCTTCTAAGAAGTCTCCAACCATCCTGACAGAGTTAGAGTACACTCCCTAAACATACCCCCCAAAATATTTACAGCTTTGCAATGTATCAAAATAATAACATAAAAGCTTAGTAAGTAGTTTTCAGCGTGCAAAGTCGGCACAGGAATTTATGGAAAACATCAGCCAGTTTTACAAAAATCTCATCAAAGCATTCCAAAGCAGAGTGCAAAATGATCATTCAGGCAATTTCCTTGGGTCCATTTTTAGAAAGGGTCTGTTGGTTCCCTTTTAAACATTTTTATTGTCAGAGTAACATTCATCTTAGTGCAAATTCATAGACCACTCAGGATCTATAATCCTTCCGAACAGTATGTGCCATCCAGTTCACTTTAGTAGTCCAGCTTTCTCTCAGCGCTTCATCAAATTTCTGCTTAAACTGCTTTAGTGCCTCTTCCTCACTCTTCCCTAAGGCAAGAGAGTCCTAAAGAGAGGGAAAACACAGTGTTTAAAGGACTGCTCTTTCTCCTTCATGCATACCCGGGATTTCCAGAGTTTGTCACTTTTCTACAGTCAACACTTTATCCCACTGTTGAGGACCATCATTTTGTATCACTCAAATGGGATAACGGATGACTTGTTATTCTTAGCAGACATCTGTGTGTGTGTGTATGAGATAGACCATAACATTAACTTGCAGCACCTGAACTTATTTCACTTAAATGAATGTTGTGTCTTGGGAAATGTCCCTTAGAGGAAAAAAACCCCAGCTGGCTAGCAAGTTTCACTACTTCAGGCTGCTGGCTATTTGAGAATTATGACAGTAGTGCAATGCTACTATTAGCTATCCCATGTCTTCAAGAAAGCTCTGAAAATTAAGGTAGGGCTTATGATTTGAGCATCAAACTGAGCAGTAAGAGGTCCAGGGAAAAATTAGCAAACATCTGAAACTGAAACATATCTATATAATGCTATGGACATTTTTTATTTCTTAATTTGCAGCATCTGTTTACTCGGAAGATGTTTAGCAGACCTTTAAGACAATAAGCAGACTCCTGTTGCATAATGATCTGGCAATGTTTATTTTCAGTAGAATACATTTATGCGAGATACAAATACACTTAAAGTAAAATTACCATTGCTGCTCTGGTTTAACAACCATGGGGGGGGGAATATAAGAAATCCACTACCCACAAGAGTTCCATGTTTTCCTACTACAGAATATCCTGACTTCACACTTCTTTATACAGGTAGGTCCATGTTTATGCTATGCACTTATTGAGAGTTCTCTTGAAATGAACTGGTAACCAACAACTGGCAAATGAGAGCAAGGCATTTGCTCAAAAGATTAGACTCTAAGAACGTAAGAGAAGCTAATGTTGGATCAGGACAATGGCCCATCCAGTCCAACACTCTGTCACACAGTGGCCAAAAATACCAGGTGCCATCAGGAGGTCCACCAGTGGGGCCAGGACACTAAAAGCTATCCCACTTCCCCCCCCCCCAAGCGCCAAGAATACAGAGCCCCAGACTGAGAGTTCCTATCTATACCTTGTGGCTAATAGCCACTGATGGACCTCTGCTCCATATGTTTATCTAATTCCCTCTTGAAGCCGTCCATGCTTGTAGACACCACCACCTCCTGTGGCAGTGAATTCCATGTGTTAATCACCCTTTGGGTGAAGAAGTACTTCCTTTTATCTGTTCTGACTGCTCAGCAATTTCATTGAGTGCTCACGAGTTCTTGTATTGTGAGAAAGGGATAAAAGTACTTCTTTCTCTACCTGCTCTATCCCACGCATAATCTTATGAACCTCGATCATGTCACCCCTGAGACATCATTTCTCCAAGCTAAAGAGCCCCAAGTGCTTTAACCTTTCTTCATAGGGAAAGTGTTCCAACCCTTTTATCATTCTAGTTGCCCTTTTCTGCACTTTTTCCAATGCTATATCCTTTCTGAGGTGTGGTGACCAGAACTGTACACAGCATTCCAAATGAGGTCACAACATTGATTTATATAGGGGCATTATGATACTGGCTGATTTGTTTTCAATTCCCTTCCTAATAATCCCCAGCATAGCGTTGGCCTTTTTAAAATTGCAGCCGCACACTGTCTTGACATTTTCATTGAGTTATCTACTATGACTCCAAGATCTCTCTCTTGGTCAGTCTTTGTCAGTTCGGATCCATTTGGAGTGCCTCACAATCCTCCCTGGTTTTCACCACCCTGAACAACTTTGTGTCATCCGCAAATTTAGCCTCTCTGTTCTCTGAGTGAGAGTTCTCTGTTGAGAGTGGCTGTCTGAAAAAAAAATTAAAAGAGCAGTGCACCTGAGTTTGAGATCACAGAATCATAGATTCACAGAGTTGGAAGGATCCATACAGGCCATCTAGTCCAACCCTTGCTCAAAGCAGAATCAGCCTACGGTATTCCTGAAACGTGTTTGTCCAGATGCTGCTTAAAGACTGCCAGTGAGTGGGAGCTCAGCACCCCTCCCTAGGCAGCTGATTCCACTGCTGCACGACTCTTACTGTAAAACAGTTTTTCCTAATATCCAGCCAGTACTTTCCTGCCCTTAATTTAAACCCATGATAGCGAGTCCTATCCTCTGCTGCCAACAGGAACAGCTCCCTGCTCTCCTCTTCAACAGCTCTTCAAATACTTCAAGAGAGCAATCATGTCCCGCCTCAACCTCCTCTTCTCTAGACTAAAGATTCCCAAGTCCCTCAGCCTTTCCTCACAGGGCTTGGTCTCCAGGCCCCCGATCGTCCTCATCACTCTCCTCTGCACCTGCTCCAAACTGAAAGCAGGCCCATAAGAATTATGACAGAGCACATGTTTTGCATACAGAAGGCTTCACTTAAAAGATCTACAGTTAACTGTTCAGGTGTGAGGATGACGAGACCCCCAGAGAACTTGGTGTGCTGCTGCAAGGTAGAGCAGTCGAAACAGACTACTGATTTGCCTCCTCAGTATATGGTAGCTCCCTCTGTTCACGCAAACTGAGGAACGCTTCACAGCCATGAGTTACAAACATCTTGCTGAACACGTAGTTTTACATGTATGTATGTATGAGAATTTTACCTTTAGATACTGGATATCCTTAACAGAGGTTAGCTCTGGAAGCCCGGCTGTTAGCATCAATGCAAAGAGAGTGATGAATAGGTTCCCATGTCTTCTCAGAATCAAGTATGCATCTTCACAACACTGTCGGAACCTTAGCATCCACAAAGAACACTTGCTGTGAAGCAGGGCCAAAACAAGTGGGCCAAACCCTAGGCAGTCTAGTTCCATACAGAGTTATCTGAACAGGATTAGGCTTCATTCACTACAGTTATCTAGTGCAACTGAACTTTTTAACCCACCACCTGTTCCCGTTTTACACCGCTCTGCAAATACAGATCGTTACAAAACTATTTGCTTTTCATACCACACAGCAAAAGATAATTAGAAAAGCATTACAGTCTCCAGTCGCTAGAAGAAAGGAAGCCAAATAAGCAAAAATGAAGTACCAAAGCAAATTTAACATATCCAAGGGACAGCTGGGTAATTCCCCTTTATGGATTTTGGACCTTTTCCCATCAAGGCGACATGAGCAGACAAGGGTAGCCAGATGACTGGGTGTTTATGGTGTGGCAGCTGCTAAGTCACAATGAAAAACCCTTTCAAAAACTCTGCTATAATCAGTTACAGTGATGTCCAATCAGAGGTGTGTTTCCATGTTTGCAATCAGATGAGATACATATGTTTTATCAGGGGAAGGATTAAGATCTGAACTCCCCCCTCCCCCCATGGAAGGAATAGTTTTTATAAAATGAACAGTATCTTGCACAACCAATGACTCCTGATCCCTTCACTACAGCCTATTCTTTGTATGGTGGTGGGCTAGCACCAGCGAAATTATTTTGATGATTTTTAAAACTCACCGGCAAAATTTTTCAGTGTTTCCAGTTTTCCCTTGCTGAATGACATGAATAAAATCATACGTAAGAATGAAAGGCACTCGCTCCCTTTTAATTCCAAATTTGGATTTGAAGTTTCCAAGAATGTGGCCAAAATCTATATGGAAGAGCTAGAAGAAAAGGTTCAGAACATAAATTATTATCCCCAGGAAGCTACGTAATTCTGTTCAACTAAATTTACTCCAGTATGTGATGTGGTTATTTCCCCCCCCCCCCAAATTACTTCTTTATAACAACTGCAAATGCACAATAATTATCAGTGATTTTTACATTTTGAAAACCATTAAAAGTTGATCATCTAGAACCATGGCAGGAATATGGTTCTAGGCAGATATTGTAATTATGTAACAACAATGGGCATGAGTTCTTTTACACGTTTAAAAAACTTTACAAAAAACTGAACGATGTCTTTCGCTACATGAATCCCTACATGGACTACTACTATTACAGCAACAAATATTTAACACTTATTTAAAACTTTCACTGTTAAAAGTGCTTCTAAGTGCTTCATATACATTATCACAGTAATCCTTATAATGGTAGATTAATAATATTATCTCCTCATTACATATGGGGAACTGAGGCTGAGAGAATCTTGCCAAAGGCCACCTAGAGAATCTGAGGCTAAAAGTGAGATTTGAATCAGTGACTTTCCAGATAACAGCTCAAATCCGTTAGCCACACCATAGTGATATCTAGGAAAACACCACATAGGAAAGGATTATTTTATCTTTAGAATGGTACACAGTTTGTGGAAGGGAGGGGATCTACATGGAAAACAGTGTTGTGCTTGCCCTTATTGCTGTTTATCAACAGATCCAGGTACGTAGCCATATTTGTCTGAAGCAGTAGGACAAAGTTTGAGTCCAGTGGCACCTTTAAGAGCAACGATGTTTTATTCAGGGTAAGAGCTTTTTTGTGCATCTGAAGACGTGTGCATGCACACGAAAGCTCATACCTTGAATAAAATGTTGTTGGTCTTAAAGGTACCACTGGACTCACACTTTGTTCGGCTGTTTATCAAGTTGTCTTTAGTGCAGGTATACACTGGGCCTTTTTAAAGTGCTTAGATACTCAGAGGGGGTGCCCCTTCCACTGGAGCACATAAGAGGCTGTTTCCTGCACAAATGGTCATGTGCTCCAAGGGGAGGCGCCCCCTTCCCTCAGTTCTCCTGAGATGCTGCAAGCCCGCCAACAATGACAGAGCATAAAGGAGAGAGCTCACACTTGAAAAGGTGGGAAGAATGTGTGCCTGTGCAGATAAAAACTTGATCAACAAGTTATGGGTTAATGCAATATTGTTTTCAGCTTCTGTGAGTCCCACATTGGGAGACTAGTAAGCTAGTCATCATGGAAGCGGGGTGATGCCGTAATAGGAAAAGATAGTGTCGTACTGCTCTGTCTATTGACATCTCCAGTCTTTTATTTACACCTACAGAGTAGTTCTTCATGAAAGTTTCAGATGACAACTGTAGATCTCTGCCAGAGGTACTCCTCATATGAAAGCAGTAGATAATGCTTGCACTCTTGAGAAATGTGCAAGTATCTGGAGGGGACAGGGGATTCCTGCCTGCTTATAGCACATCTTGATGAGAGAAATAATCCATCTGGATAAGTATGAGGAGAAGCTGCTGTCCCCTTACTTGGGCCTGAATGATAAACAACTGAAGACCTTTGTGTAAGGAACTTGTTCTCTTAAAAAAAGCAATAAAGCCCTCTTAACATCCAAAGTTTGTAATGCCTATCTGGCACTAGAGGATGGTGCAGGGGAAAATACTGGGAGCATAATGTCCCATGACAGATGGAATTTAGAGATTACCTTGGGCAAAAACTGTAGGCTAGGTCTCAATACCACCTTCTCTTCGTGGAACTTAATAAAGGGCGAATTCACCCTTGGGGCAGCTAACTTGCCCACCCTTCTTGCTGAGGTTATTGCCACTAAGAAAGCAGAGAGAATTGACAGGGGGCAAGAGGATAATGGTTCAAAGGAAGCAAACATAAGCTGAGCCAGTACTAAAGATAGAGACCATTGAGGCACAATGGGTACCTTGGGATGGAAAAAGTTGAACCACCATTTAAGAAACATCTTGAAGGCGTGGTGGGGGAAAAGTGTCCTACCCTCTATGAGGGAATGTGAGGCAGATATGGCAGCCATGTGCACTTTCAGGGAGGAAATAGCTGGACCCCTTGAGTTCAAGGAGAAGAGGTATCCCGGAACCAATGAGAGGGCAGGAAACTACAGGGACCCCTTCTGAATCAGCCCAGGAGAAAAGACACCTCCATTTCTATTCATACGAGAGCCTAGTTGAAGGACTGTGAGCCCTGAGAATCACCATCACCACAGGGTCTGAAAAGTCTAATGATGAGGAATGATGAGCCACACAGTCAAGCGAAGCCTGTACATGTTGTGGTGTAACATGGCACCTATACATAACAGATCTGGATTCTGAGGGAGGTGCATATGTCTCCCCTAGGATAAAGTGAGAAGTATCTGGAACCAAATCTGGCAGGGCCAGCAGGGGTGTGATTAGGATACAGTGTGTGTCTTCTGCATTCTTCTGCATACATATTGGAAACCACTCTCTCTATTAGTGGAAATGGGAGAAATACATAAAAGAGTGTATGTCCATGTTATATGGAAAGCATCCCCAATGGACAAGACAATTGCTACCAGCCCTGGAACAAGAAATGGATGCTTTGGTGTTGTGGCATGTAGCGAGAAAACCTATCCTTGGGTAATCCCGCTTTACAAACACTGGGTGTATATATTTGTCCCCAGTACACCATTCATGGCTTGAATGTCTGACTCTGCTCAGTACATCTGCCTTGGTATTGACTGAGCCTACAATGTGAATAGCTTGCAGTGACATTCCCTGTGGGATCACCCACTCCCAAATGTACACAGCCTCTGCAAAGATCTTGTCTCTGGATTTGGGGTCTGATGAAGTGACCTTGATGTCCAAGTACTGGGCCATGCAGAGCATCTGTTCTGAACAAAGCCTCAAGTTTTCTTCCAGAGAAAAGGGCCCAAGTCACCTACTGTATCATCCAGTGAGGAATCTGACAGGAGACCTGAACTCTGCTTGGAATGGGAGACTTCCTCTTCCAAGTCAGATGCAGCAATAGGGTGGCCCCATGGATGTAGGTTGGGGAGACCACCAGGTTGGAGCAGGTGGATGGTCCTAGGATTTAGATGTAGAAGACCTCAGGGTAAGGTGACCTATACTATTTTTCCCACTCTAGAGGGTACAAGGGTGGAAAATAGAATGGACAAGTGGAGCCCCGCAAGAAACTTGTGGGATGGTTATCCTATTCCTCACACCCTTGCTTCCTCCCCTCTCCCCCTACCTTTCTCACACTCTTTCTCCCTTCTGCCCCTCCTTTCTTAATCTCTCTCCCCTCCATGTATGTTACTTCCTCTTTTTTCTGACCCGTTGTTTTTCTCCCTCCCCACCTCATCACTCTTTCTCTTTCTTTCTGCCCCCCCCCACTGTATCAC